CCACCAACATCATCGAACTTGTTTTCTGAGTTTTGGACCGTCGCTTCGAACACAAACGTAGAAGTTGTCTATATATGATACTCGTATTAGCAGGCGCTAAAGCCTTAGTCGCCACGGCAGCCAAAATGCTTGTCGTTGATGTCGGCGTAGTGCGGCAACTCGATCGGCGCCGACCCATCGAGGATCGCATTCAGCACTTGGACCTGCTTGGACGTCGTCTGGACGCGCCAGAGCGACTTGAACTGCGGCTTCAAGTCGACGACGCCGCCGGGGAGACACTTGCTGTAGTACATGACGACGACCTTGTAGATCTCGGCTTCGATCTTGTCGTCGGAGAAGAGCGCGTCGCGACCCGCCGCCACGAGGTCCGTGCGCCAGCTCATGTAGGCGTCGACCGCCGTGTCGTGCTTGGCCGTGACAAAGTTTTGGAGGTCGCCGTTCGCATCGCGCGGTGTCATGGGCACGTCGATCTCGTCGGCGAGCTGGCGCAAATTGGTCTTGGTCGTGAGGCCACCCGCGAGGCTGCAGTTGGTGTAGAGGTCGGCCATGACGCCGGCAAACTGGTAGCTGTAGCTGTTGGTGCCGAGGTCTGTGTTGTCCGTGAGCTGGTAATAGCTCGTGGGGACGTCGCGAAAGTACTGGCTGACGCCGCTGCCCGGGTGGCGGACATTAATCGAAGTGCCGTTGGCGTGGATGACGTTCATCGTGATGCTCGAGTTGGCCGTGATGGGCGCACCGTTGACGACGCAGCCTTCGAACGAGAGGCGGCTGGTCGCGCGCTCGGACGCTTTGACGACGCCCTTGGCGCGGCACTTGTAGAAGATCGTGTTGAGCGCGTCGATCGTCGTGTGGTGCGAGTAGAAGATCGGGTCGGAGGGCGACACGAAGGGGTTGCCCATGGCGCCTTGGAGGACGTTGTGGACGTTGTTGTGCGGGTTGGCTTCGATGGCCGAGTTGACCGACGCGACGTCCGGTCCAGAGAAGAGATCGTCTTTGACACCGGTGAAGCCGAGCTCGGTCGGGTACTGCAGCCGGGTGTAGTCGCCGCGCGGCACACACTTGGCACACGCCTTCTTGGCGGTAGGCGTCGTCGCCGGGTGCTGGCAGTAGTGATCGAGCGGCGGCGTCGCGTCGCAGCGGCCGTAAATGTCGTAGTCGCCAATCTTGACCGTCATGCGACTGCCGCTCGCAAAACTGCCGAGCTGACCGAGGATCGGCGAGCACTCGGCGATCGACTTGCACTGGCGCGTCGTGTACTTGGCGTTGTGGTTGACATAGTCAAAGTACGGCAGCGTCACGCACGCATACTCGGGCGAGAGCGACCGCAGCATGTTTTCAAACCCGACGAGGAACTGGCGGTGCCAGTACATAAAGACGCACGTGTTGTGGGCCTCCATGTTGGACATTTCTTCGCGGTGCATCGAGAGGAAGCGCTCGTACGCGCCTGCGTCCATGGCCGTCTGGATCGCCGACTTGTAGAGCGTCTTCTCGGGCGTCGAGAGTGCGTCCCACGACTTGCGGACGCGGTCGGGGCATGCAGCGGTGGCGACGGAGGACAAGAGACCGAGGCCCAAGAGCGACAAGGAGAGAGCGACCATTGGCGTAGGCGAGTGGAAATGGAAAAGTGAGAACGTTCTGGTCTCGTGGCGCTCGTCGAGGCAGCGACCACTCGTTCAAACAAGACGAAAAGCTTGACGCATACGATGCGCCAAACTCCGCGTTGTCTGGACACAGTGCGAAATTGGCGGTTGCCATCGTCTGTCACATGACAAAACATACGGTCCTCCGTGGACCCTGCTCAGAAACGGCCACGCAAGTGTGATCGAGCCACTGTTGCTAGGCCGTTGACGAGGCGTGCAAGGACATAAATGAGCCATCGACTGACGCCATTACAACGAGGTCCACTTGATGCCAAGGTGCAAGCGATGCATGCAAGGATAGAGCGGTTATGCAATACCATCTCAGGGGTGTCTCCAAACGCTGGAGGCTGGAGAGACTGCAGGGTGAGATCGTGGTTGACGTCATCCGACCCATTGCAACCACGAGGCAGCAAGTGGAGGCGTGTCGTAGAGCACGTACGAACCACACACGCTGCACATACGAACCAGCTGCTACCATTGGTTATCCACCAGCAGGTGACTACTGCGTGCATGGACAGGTCGGGCACCCAATGACATGGCAAATGCAAACGCACTCACTGTAGACGGCCCATGCGACGATGGGTGTTTTGAACTTGGACTTGCCCTGAACGCCATTACGTTGTACCAGGAGGTGTACACGGGATAACACGAGAGGTAATAGACCCGGAGACAAACAAAAAGACGGTACATGAACACAACGAAAAAATAGAAGAGGGCCGCTAACAATGGAAAAGAGTGACCACCAAAACAATAATGTGCAACTGACTGCACACAAACACGAGATGACAGGCCCAGCGCAAAGAAAACATCAGACTATCCCGTGTACACCTCCTGGTACAACGTAATGGCGTTCAGGGCAAGTCCAAGTTCAAAACACCCATCGTCGCATGGGCCGTCTACAGTGAGTGCGTTTGCATTTGCCATGTCATTGGGTGCCCGACCTGTCCATGCACGCAGTAGTCACCTGCTGGTGGATAACCAATGGTAGCAGCTGGTTCGTATGTGCAGCGTGTGTGGTTCGTACGTGCTCTACGACACGCCTCCACTTGCTGCCTCGTGGTTGCAATGGGTCGGATGACGTCAACCACGATCTCACCCTGCAGTCTCTCCAGCCTCCAGCGTTTGGAGACACCCCTGAGATGGTATTGCATAACCGCTCTATCCTTGCATGCATCGCTTGCACCTTGGCATCAAGTGGACCTCGTTGTAATGGCGTCAGTCGATGGCTCATTTATGTCCTTGCACGCCTCGTCAACGGCCTAGCAACAGTGGCTCGATCACACTTGCGTGGCCGTTTCTGAGCAGGGTCCACGGAGGACCGTATGTTTTGTCATGTGACAGACGATGGCAACCGCCAATTTCGCACTGTGTCCAGACAACGCGGAGTTTGGCGCATCGTATGCGTCAAGCTTTTCGTCTTGTTTGAACGAGTGGTCGCTGCCTCGACGAGCGCCACGAGACCAGAACGTTCTCACTTTTCCATTTCCACTCGCCTACGCCAATGGTCGCTCTCTCCTTGTCGCTCTTGGGCCTCGGTCTCTTGTCCTCCGTCGCCACCGCTGCATGCCCCGACCGCGTCCGCAAGTCGTGGGACGCACTCTCGACGCCCGAGAAGACGCTCTACAAGTCGGCGATCCAGACGGCCATGGACGCAGGCGCGTACGAGCGCTTCCTCTCGATGCACCGCGAAGAAATGTCCAACATGGAGGCCCACAACACGTGCGTCTTTATGTACTGGCACCGCCAGTTCCTCGTCGGGTTTGAAAACATGCTGCGGTCGCTCTCGCCCGAGTATGCCTGCGTGACGCTACCGTACTTTGACTATGTCAACCACAACGCCAAGTACACGACGCGCCAGTGCAAGTCGATCGCCGAGTGCTCGCCGATCCTCGGTCAGCTCGGCAGTTTTGCGAGCGGCAGTCGCATGACGGTCAAGATTGGCGACTACGACATTTACGGCCGCTGCGACGCGACGCCGCCGCTCGATCACTACTGCCAGCACCCGGCGACGACGCCTACCGCCAAGAAGGCGTGTGCCAAGTGTGTGCCGCGCGGCGACTACACCCGGCTGCAGTACCCGACCGAGCTCGGCTTCACCGGTGTCAAAGACGATCTCTTCTCTGGACCGGACGTCGCGTCGGTCAACTCGGCCATCGAAGCCAACCCGCACAACAACGTCCACAACGTCCTCCAAGGCGCCATGGGCAACCCCTTCGTGTCGCCCTCCGACCCGATCTTCTACTCGCACCACACGACGATCGACGCGCTCAACACGATCTTCTACAAGTGCCGCGCCAAGGGCGTCGTCAAAGCGTCCGAGCGCGCGACCAGCCGCCTCTCGTTCGAAGGCTGCGTCGTCAACGGTGCGCCCATCACGGCCAACTCGAGCATCACGATGAACGTCATCCACGCCAACGGCACCTCGATTAACGTCCGCCACCCGGGCAGCGGCGTCAGCCAGTACTTTCACGACGTCCCCACGAGCTACTACCAGCTCACGGACAACACAGACCTCGGCACCAACAGCTACAGCTACCAGTTTGCCGGCGTCATGGCCGACCTCTACACCAACTGCAGCCTCGCGGGTGGCCTCACGACCAAGACCAATTTGCGCCAGCTCGCCGACGAGATCGACGTGCCCATGACACCGCGCGATGCGAACGGCGACCTCCAAAACTTTGTCACGGCCAAGCACGACACGGCAGTCGACGCCTACATGAGCTGGCGCACGGACCTCGTGGCGGCGGGTCGCGACGCGCTCTTCTCCGACGACAAGATCGAAGCCGAGATCTACAAGGTCGTCGTCATGTACTACAGCAAGTGTCTCCCCGGCGGCGTCGTCGACTTGAAGCCCCAGTTCAAGTCGCTCTGGCGCGTCCAGACGACGTCCAAGCAGGTCCAAGTGCTAAATGCGATCCTCGATGGGTCGGCGCCGATCGAGTTGCCGCA